GTCACAAGCAGGTAATATAATACCCTAACACATATGCTTATTGATATCAATGCAGCAACATAACAATAATATCATGAATGATAATTGACAGGAAGGTAAAAGATACGTACCCCCATCATTCAGTGCTGCTCGAATCCTTGTTGAAATTAACCGAGATAATCGGCTCCGAGCCGTGGGCGCCCTTGCCCAGCCTCGACAACCGCTAGTGGTTCTCGAAGTCACAGGGGAAGGAGCTATCACCTGCCCTGCTGTATGCAAACTCGGACAGTGGGCCTTCTTGTGGCCCCTCTGACTGCAATGGAAACATATCGTGTCAAGTCCATGGGTGATGGTAACAATACAATCTCCGCTAAAATGGCCAATCCGACCGCACTTGAAACATCCAACATCGCTACCACTTCTACGCCTACACGCACCCTCGTGCTTCCTACCACACTTCCCGCATCGGCTGCGGCTCTAATAGTCCCTCGATCTCAAATCCGACCCCTTGGGCATCTTGCCCGAACCTGTGGCTACCTGAGTCTCATCCATTTTCCGACTCCCTGCCCGTCTCTCGCTCATGCGTTACCTTGTCGACCCCATCCATCATCTGAGCAACCGTTGTCCGATTCTGGAGCTTCGCGGTCAACCTACCAATGACCCGTCCAATGATGTTGGGCAGCTCCTCGCGAATGGCTCGCGAAAACTCCTTGACTATCCAATCATGCAAAGGTCTCTCCTAGAGACAGGGTGCCCACTCACTATTGTCCCATGATGATAAGAGCTAAAAATGGGAACTCCCCCCTGATGGATCCCTGAACTCCATAAGCACCGGGCTCTAGATGAGCCCCAAACTGTCCTGAAACTATCCTGACCCTAAAGGCCTCCAGATGACTGTCCAAAAGCTCCATAATAGTCTCCCAAACTGAAACAAATATCACGGGAGTTTGATCAATGATGTTGCGAATAATCTCTGTAGAAATGACATCTCTCATTTGTTCATCAAACTGTCTGGCTCTAGAGCCTGAGCCAGATCCCTCCCCAGCACCTGAACTGCCAACTGATATCTCGTGCAACGTCACCATGCTGAAAACACATCACAAAAACCGATTAATATACATACCGTTGCTAAGGGATCTCTCACACACTCTACTAGTTCCCTGGTTTTGCCTCGGCCCCTCTTGAATCGAGTACGGATCCTCTGCTTTCAGTAGTATGGGCCCATACTACCTTCCATATATCCGTACTTTCCTCAAGAGTTACCTCAACTCCACCAAGTCCCTTTTCTCAACTGCTAATATTTGCTACTCTCATCCTAGGCTTGCCCTAGGGAACCTCTGACTCCACCCAAACAGTCATCAGCTGCTGAAGGTCTCCTCGTAATGCCAATTAACCATTACATGAATACCATCACATGTGACGAGGCTCAGATAATCCTTCGAGTAAAAGACTTGTCCCCACAACGGTTAGACTCAGACAAAAGCTGTGCAATAGGGCCAAATCTAGCACTCTGAGATTATTCAAACCTGATCGCATGTGATGTTACGTATTCACCTAATGGCTAACTACCATCACTCGGAGCCCTACAAAGCACAAACCAAGCAACATTCAGACACAGGAAACTACTCGAGTAATTCTATCCTCATATCAAGAAACTGCACTAGCATACAATGCTGAACTCATACTATCAGGCATAACCTAAACAGGCTATCCTACTGTTGTCTACTTAATTTCTAGCATGCAATTCTCATAAGGCTGAAACACATAAAGCAGACACATAAGGCATCCTCCTAGATCCTTAGTCCTATACTAGCATGTTGTTCTACTAAAACTCAAACTGAAACTGAAACTGAAACTGAAACTGAAACTGATAATCATAACTTGTATGGGTAATTTGGGAGTACTTACTTGAGCTCATCTGATTGCATGCACCACACCCTTTTTCTATTTTCAAGTTATTTTATTTCTAAATATTCTTTTCGCTTTTTCTAAAACTCTTTTCTTTTCTCAAACTTCTTTTTACCAAAAAATTCCTTTCGAAAATGTTTTCTTTTGAAAACCTTTTACCGTTTCCTTAGTTTGAGTCCAGACACACTCTCAAGTGTGTCCGAATCCCTCAAACCAAGGCTCTAATACCAACTTGTAACGGCCCAAAAATCACGACCAAAAATTTCTTTTAAAAACATTACTAAAACCATATTTATAAAAACCACATCATAAGTCATAACATAATTTCCGAGTATTAATCCAAAACATAATCTTATTACCAGATCTCACTACTAGAAAACAGACCTTTAATGACGCGCATTTTACAACACGCACTGATTAATGATACGCAAAAGGACGTGCCCTTAAAATAGTGTTATCACTCCAAAAAATTTAAGGATTTACGTCACGCATTATTGCGTGCCCTTAATTTAGTGTCTCAAAAAAAAATTAAAAACACGGAGGGCACTTTATCTTAAACGCGCGTCGTCTGTACCTGTCACTTTATAATTTTAATGAAACGCGCTTTTAGTAGATAAGGGGGGAAACGAAATCCCCAAAATTTTGAAAACCCGCCTCGTTTTTTCTATCTTCTATCTATCTTTCATCCTTGCAATCCACTCTCCCCTCTCTGATACTCTCTCCTCTAGATCTCCCTTCATTCTCTACCTCCCGTATCTCTGTAAACCCTAAGCTATTGCCACCTCCCTTCTCTCTAGCACGTGCTAGGGTTTTATTTTCTTTCAAGCTTCCGCTTCTCTCGTTTTCTCTCAACCCAGTACGTGCGAGGGTTCGAAATAACTGAGCGAATTCAAACAATCAATCTTCCATTTCAACTTATTTAAACTCTGGATCATCGGGTATTTTTTCATATTCATTTTCCGGTTTTGTTCACTTTCAAAATCGGAATGGGTCCCGTTCTTTTCTACTTCAATACTCTCGATCTCAACCGTCTTTTCTTCTTCCACTTCGTCTTCTTCTACTTCTTCTAACAATGGTGGTTCTTGCTCAGTGGTAACCTCGCCAATATGCAATTTAAAAACCCCAAATAAGTCAAATTTTTAGGTATAGGGTTCTTTATCTGGAAGCACAAGGCCATCTGTAATCAATTCAGCTAATCTGAGCTCACAGGTACATGTTATAGTCAACAAATCGCCATCATCATCTTTGTATTTTATCAAAACAGACTTTGATTCTAACACTCTTTCGTTCCCCCCCCCCCCCTTCTCAAACACAAATGAATTATGAGTTCCTTATCATTTCCTATAGGGTTCACGAAGCATTGTTTATACATCTAGGGTTTCTGAATTTCGAGTATTATGCACACAAATGTCAGAAAAAATATGGTCAACCAACTCAAATATGGTCCGATTCCAGTTCTTAAAGCCCTCAACTCCGATTGACATGTGATTAAGGCTGAACAGGTACCACAATCCTTATTTTTGTATTTGTATATCTTTGTTCTTTATTTACATATTTTGTGATTATATTATGATTGTTCGGACCTGCTTGGAAAAAGCTTATTCTGTATGATGTATGATTGTAACAGTTGTTCATAAACTAATGTTTGAGGAACAACGCAGGTTTGTATCAGAAAGCAAAAATGTTGGGTTTCTGTTTGTTTACTTTAAGGTTGGAATGTTGGATCCCCCAAGAGAGGAAGTCAGAGAGGTTGCTAAGAAAGGAATTGACTAGAATGATGCTAACAATTGGGTTGTAGAGGTTCAGAACATGCTTAAGAAATATGCACATAAAGTGTTTGTAGAAATGCCAAAGAGAGAAAAAAAGTTGTGAAACTGTTAAAACTATGGTGACAGTATTGAAGCTAAGAGGTTCTTCACCAAATTCCTCCAGAACGAGGTAGTCCATGAAATTAGTATCAATCCTAATGTAATTATCTATAATGAATGACCATGGATTCTCTTGCAGTCTTGTAATACATCCATTCAAACATTGATCTCTCTGATTGACAATCTGAAACAACTTCTAGAACACAAAGGGCAAAACTCAACAGATCTCTAAAAACAGATAATTCAGATGGGACAACATACAAGTATGGACTGTATTTTACAGGTGAATCAAAAGCAAGAGCTTCAACAGTTACAAAATCATCTCCAATCCAAACCCATGGAACATTATTGAGAGAACCTTTAAGAAGGTCAAAGTCATCAGTGCCAACATATTCTTGCAGATTTGAGAAAACAGTAAAGGTATTTAAAATTTTGCTTATATTTTTAATACTTTCTATATATATAATACTTAATTAACTGATTGTGTTCATTCTCTTGAGGGCTAATTTCGTAGTTTCACCTTTTTTATTTTTCAGGCCGACAGCTTGGAGGAAGCCATAAATATTTCCAACAGAAATAAGTAAGCTTTATTCCTCTCTTTATGTTTAAAACAAACTCCCATATGTTTTGATTTCATTATTTAATATAATAAAAAAAATTATGCAGATAGTAACCATTAGCAAATGCAAGTTGTACTACATATGCAATATCCATATTTATAAATTTTACCAAGTGTGTTGATGGGAGACACTGGTGTCTTGAAGAAGATAACAGAGGACGTACACTGTGCCATTGGATTTACCATTTGTAGTATCATATACAATACCTGTCACTCCTCTCCACATACACTGGTGTAGGTCAAAAGTTTTGGGTGGAGTTGGAGGCTAAGCTTGTCAATACCATAGGGGCTGCAAAGACTACTCGGAAAATAAGGTTTGTGACTTGTTTCTTAAGTTGCCTACACAAATTTGTTGTGTTATGTAGTAATAAAATTATTTTCTTTCTCAATTGAAAACTCAATTGAAAATAAGGTTTAAGAGATCAGTAATTGGATTGGGGTGGTGGGTGGGTTTGGATTAAAATTATTTTCTTTCTCAATTGAAAACTCAATCTGAAAATTATAGATAAGTCATAGAATTTTTATTTCAACCATCGACTAATTTGTAGTTGTGTACAACGAAAGAAAGAGGGGCTACTTGGCACTTGTTTGCGGAAATGCACTATGAAATCAATAGCCTGACCAACTGATATCTTCTATGGGTGCAGTAGAATTCATCATTTGCCATGCTAAGGTTACACTTGCTTTTGTAGAAGCTAAAAAGATCCCTGAGGTAATCCAATCAATCATATTCATTTTATTATCTTACACAAAACTAAAGTTAAACAAATCTTTTAGCATAAAGTTAAATTTTTTTCCTAGAAATAAATTTCTTTTTATCATTTAGGTGCTAAAAACGTTTCCGAAAGCTGGAGAGTATCTAAAAAGTAAGTTACTCATCATGTCTAGTTTCTTGAACACAATCATAAAGAATTACAGGTACTAATTTATATGTTTTACTTCAGCAATTGAGAGCTTTGGCGAAGTTACCCCTGAACAAAAAGAACAATGTGAAGGTTTTGGTGTAACAATACATTCATGGGAGGAGTTCTTATCATTGGTATGCTCTTATATCTCTTAAATTGCAATATTAAATTTTGGGTTTTGTGTAAATGTGAAATATAATTCAATTTTGATTTTTGACACCCTTTTATCTATTTGCAAGGTGATGATAAACAGTTTGAGCTCCTACTGAAGAAGAAAAGTGACATTTGTACAATAATGTACACTAGTGGGACAACTGGTGATCCAAAAGGTGTTCTAATTTCAAATAACAATATTGTGACACTTATAGCTGGTGTTCATCGTCTGCTAGGGAGTGTAGATGTATCAGTGAGTTCCCACTTAGTTTTTGATTATTTGAATATAAAAAAACAGAATATTGAAGCTTTTAGAATAAAACTTTGAGCTTTGGGATGTATATCAAATAAACTTTGGAGTTTTTGATGTATAATGAATAAACATGAAAAAGGATTACTAATTTCTGCTTATTTTATACTTAACAATGATAAATTTTTTTTCTAGTTGGATTTAAAAGATGTTTATCTCTCGTTTCTACCCTTGGCACATATATTTAATCGGGTGATTGAAGAATGTTTTATTAATCATGGAGCATCTATAGGATTTTGACGTGGGGTAAGAAGATTACTAAATTTTATTTGTAATTAATTTCATATGAATCATATCATAATTTGTATTATTCTATATATATACAGGATGTTAAATTGCTAATTGAAGACATAGGGGAGCTAAAACCTACTATTTTCTGTGCTGTTCCTCGTGTCTTGGATAGGATTTATTCAGGTATTTTTGTGTTAGTTAATTATTGTGCAAATAAAAAAAACATAATTTTCCCTTATTTAATTAATGAATTGAATTCCTTCTATTTTTATTAGGTTTGCAACAGAAAATTTCTTCTGGGGGTTTTCTCAAAAGCAAATTGTTTAGTCTTGCTTATGCATAGTAAGTATTGTGCAATTTACAAAAAAACATAACTTTTTAAATTTGCTTTTCACAAAATAATTTGCATACTAAACTTGTGCAGCAAGTTACGTAATATGAAGGGAGGTAAAAAACATCCAGAGGCATCTCCATTAAGTGACAAAATTGTCTTCAGCAGGGTGTGTGACATGACATCATCTTATATTACCTTCTATATCTTCAACATGACTTTTAAATACAAGGGTAAAATCGTCATTTTTTCATTTATGCAGATAAAATAGGGACTAGGAGGTAATGTACGCATTATTCTCTTAGGAGTTGCACCACCAGCTCCACATGTAGAAGCTTTCCTAAAAGTAGTAACACGTAGAAGCTCTGAATCCAATAGCTTGTCAATACCACAGGGGCTGGTCATTTAGGGAGTGTGATATCTTCTATGGGTCGCTGGAGAATGAGGCTTGAGGTTCCACGTGCTGAAATTGATGAGATGCTTCCACTTGCTAGGCTTGTTTCCCGAAGTACCGATCCAGCTCTTCAGTTTAGATCAAAGGTCGTCCTCATTCATTCATTCATTTATTAAGTTTTATTCTATCATCCAAACCCAAAAAGCTCTCATCTAAATCTAATGTCTTCTATGTGCAAAACACATGAGAATGAATGAATGAATGCCCTTTACCAAAATATAGCAAACACAGCCAATCCTAATCCTGTTCATATACCATAAGAGAGTAAAGTAAAGTAGGTTCCATTCCCATACATTGGTTTGGTAAACTGAGTAAATAAAGTAGGTTGCTATTTGTAGGAAAGCTCTATATAGTCTAGGGGTGTATAAATATTATATGATTTTAGGTGATGTTGTTCCCCATTACCTTAATGTTGATCTTGCATTGGGAAATATACGTGTTGCAAAGTGTATCAAGTTTGACTACCCATGTGTCCTGTTGGAGGAAGCTCAAGGTTCTTTACTTCTCTTACACTGTAATAATCCATCTTCACACTTATTTTGTAGTAATTTTTTTTTTTTTTTTTTTTTTGCAGGCAATATAGATACTTTGAGCAAGTTCATACATTTAGAGTCCTTGAGTGGTGTTACTAAGGAAGAGTGGAGACAAGTGAGGCACACATTTAAAAAAATCAGCACAAATCTTGTTTACAGTGAGGCACACATTAGGTTATTAGAACTATTAGTTTGTAAATTTTGTTACAACTTCTATTGATTTGTTTTATCTTTCCATGGAACGATTATTTGTATGACATTAAATTTATGCAATGGATTCTATTTTTTGTATATGATATTTTATTTTCTATTATGAAACATTAAATACAAATTTAATTTGAAAATAAGTAAACCTATAAATAATATATTTTTTAAACATTTAAAGTTATGATACGCAAAAATGTGTGTCATCTTCATTTATGACATGGCCTTTCTTGACAGGGGATTTCTTGATACGTATTGCGTGTCATTAACACGCACGTCGTAAGGTTACGACACGCGAATGCGTGTCGTCTTCCTTTATGACAGGGTCTTCCTTGATACACATTGCGTGTCGTAAACGCGCGTCGTAATGGCGCGTCGTAAATGAGCGTCGTAAATGCGCGTCGTCTCTCTTTATGACAGGGCCTTCCTTGACACGCATTTGCGCATCGTCTGAGCCTTTTACGACGCACAATGAGCGTCGTAAAAGGCTGTTTTTCTAGTAGTCTAGAGTAAACATTCCCAGACTAACTAACTATGGTGTGTGCACTGCAACCTCTCCGAGCTCCTCTTTTGAAAACTGAGTACCTGAAACCAAAAAATTGAAACCGTAAGCACGAAGCTTAGTGAGCTCCCCCAAACTACCACATACCATACAATAACATATAAAGCACATACTGGGCCTTGCCCACTGCATCAGACCGAGGTTAGAACTAACTGGGGCCTTGCCCCCTGTATCGGACCGAAGTCCGAAAGATCGGGACCTTGTCCCCTGCATCGGACCGAAGTCCGGACTAACTGGGGCCTTGCCCCTGCATTGGATCGAAGTCCGGCAACTGACTAGGACCTTGTCCCCTGCATCAGACCGAAGTCCGGACTAACTGGGGCCTTGCCCCCTGTATCGGACCGAAGTCCGAAAACTGACTGGACATAGCATAACATAAACATATCAACTAGCATGAGCACATATATTGCATACTGCATCGGGCCGTAGCCCGGAACACATAACACATAAATCCTGTCTGAGCCAAGAAGGCATCAAACATACTAACTACTGCATCAGAATGAAGTCCGAAAACTACTGCTAGCTAAACGGGCCGGCATTGTGGCCTTAGACCCGTTCCTACTAGAAGGAAACTCACTTGAATTGCTGAGCTCTGCTGATAACCCTCTAAGGCGCTGCTCCTTTAGCTCTTCGTGCCACCAATAACAATATAACACTTAGTCTGATAGTCCTCTAAAAGTCAACTAAGTCAACTCTTGACAAAGTCAAAGTCCTGGTTAAAGTCAACCTTCCAGGTTGACCCTACTCACCGAGTCAGCCAACTGACTCGCCGACTTCATAAGCTCAGAAACCCCTTTCATTCGCGACTCAACTCGCCGAGTCAGACCATGACTCGCCGAGTCTACTGATTTCCGAGTCCTGACCTGTCCAACTCACTGAGTCCCCACTCAACTCACTAATCTGAGTCTTAACTTGAAGGGTTTGGGGTTTCGCAACTTGACTCGTCGAGTCCAAGAACAGACTCTTTGAGTCCAAGGAAATTTTCAACAGACTCGCCGAGTTGTTCATCCAACTCGTCGAGTTCATCTCCATCTTTATACTACTCGCCGAGTCCACTCGAAGGACTCTCTGAGTCTATTCATTCCTTCAAGCATTTAGAAGCTTTTGATTCATGCATGGACTCCAAACTACAGATCCACTCTTCTAAAGCCTATTCCTCACGTAAAGTAGCAAACTACACATGTAGCTAAGGAGATCTAGGATCAAAACACTATAAACTAGGGTTTAAGACAAGGAGGCTTTACAATCAACCCATAGACTGATGCTTTATGATTCTCTAGGTCAAGATACACTTAGATCTGAAGTAGCAACTTCAGATCTGGGCTTCTAACTCGAAATGGTTCTTAAACTTGCCCTTAAAGCCCCAAATCTCATGTTAAAGGTTGATCTATATGCAAAAGAGTGAAGGTAGCGACTCATTACCTTCAAATGCTCTGAAAAATCCCACAAACTCTGGATCTACTGCCACTCCTTGAATCTCTAATGGTTCCCTTCTACCTTCTTCCTTTAAATCACCCAAAATGGCAAGAAAGCTTGAAAGTGCAACAATGGAGGCTTAGAGTTTCGTATTCTGAATAAGAAAGGCTACAAGGAACCCTAAGGGAGATAATGAGATGCTTAAATAGTGCACAAATTCCCGGATTCAGGGTTCCCCTCTTTAGACCGAATTTGCTGAGTCCTCTTTGCCGACTCGCCGAGTCGGTTACTTAATCGATCCCCTGGATCTCGCTCCGACTCGTCGAGTTCCTCCATAGACTCGACGAGTTAACCCTTTGACTTAGGGTTTCCTTTCCTTTCTTGGACTTTCTGATTATGAGTGTCACATTTAATCCCTTTCTCCCTTAAGTTTTTAGTCGGTGAAGCCCTGCGGTGTCAGGTAGCCAACAATTAGGGGCTCTCGAGTCAGAGTTCTGCCCACTTAATTCCTAGTTTTCATCAATGTATTTTATAAGTTAAGTCACACTTATTTTATTTAAGTGTAACTTTTAATTATAGCCATAGTCGCTATTATGAACCTATAATTAAGATTTATCAGTGATTCCAAGTCATTATACTGATTGATCTACTTATGGGGATGATGAGGCTGGATTTAGTGAGATGTTTAAAGTGAGATTTTCAAATACTATATTACATATACCAAATAGACCCTACCTCTGATATGTGTCTATTAACTGCGATTGGAACCTTCTGTGTTAGATGAAATGATATCAGCCAATATTATTTATTCATATATGTATTTTTGTACTTATAATGTTTGGAGTAGTGAAGGGTAAAGATAAATGAAAATAATGAAGAGAGGTCGAGACATTTAAAATACTACCAGACTAGTAATGTAGTTACCTAGTAGGGTATTGATAATGACCATAGATTATTCTAGACAAGTAAGGTCAAAACATGGGCATGCACATGACTTGTAGATGTTTATAAGCCATACACGTACATGCTTACAACATGTAGGTGTTAGTATATCATACACGGGCAGGTTTACAACTTGTAGGTGTTAATAAATCATTTTATGGGCAGGTCTATGACCTGTAAGCATTGATGAATCGTATACGGGTAAGTCTACGACCTACAGGTGTTAGTGAACTATATATAGGCCGGTCCTTGACCTGTAGGTTTTAAGGAATTTAATACAAACATGATTTACAAATTATAGGTATGAATGAATTATTCATGTGAGTATTTTGTTCACTCCATTAGCATATTTCGTTAAGGAATCTCCAAGGTGGAATTATTCATTAAGAGATCCTTTAGGATGGATCCTTTAAGATTATAAGTTACAATTAGGGAGTGAGAATAATGAGAATGAGTAATTGGCTTACTTGTTTGATAATTAAACATATTAACTATATTATTATAGGTTGAAAACCATATGTACTCACCAAGTTTCCCAACAGTTACAATTAAGGAGTGGGAATAATGGGAATGAGTAATTGGCTTACTTCTTTGATAATTAAACATATTAACTATATTATTATGGGTTGAAAACCCTATGTACCCACCAAGTTTCCCAACCTGACCCACTTAGTTTCTTTGTATCACATGTAGTGATATGAAGGTACTGATAGATAATGTAATTATCTGTTGAGAGATTCAAGGAATTGTAGATCTTTAGTATATTGAGATTTTGTAAGTCTCCATTTATGGTTATGTTTCTTGTATCGGTTATGTCATCCCCAACCTTAATAAATCAATAGAAAATTTCTTCGGAAATACTTTTACAAGACTAAATTCGACATTAATGAATAAACTTTGTATTAAGTATGCATAAATAAAAAGTTTTTAATAACTGTGAAATTAGGGGTGTCACAACTTCGGCATATTCAATGTACAGATACACACTTTCACAAATAAAATAATGTAAAAGAATTAAAAGATAGTCATTATAATAAGGTCAATAAATTTCCGATTACACTTTCTAAGTATATTTTCCATAAACTTGCATAAAAGAGTATTTTACAAAGGACAAAAACATCACTCATTCAACCTAGATTCAATCGTCCAAAAGCTTACATTAAACCCACTACCATTATCTAACAAAAGACATGCATGCATATTGGTTGGAATTATACATCAACCGTAAAAGACATGCATTTAGGTTGGAATTTTTACACCCATCATACAAAAGAATTAAAAGTGATGCCATTACATCCATAACTTCATGACACACTAAACTAACCCTACAAACAAGCAAATACAAAGCAACACAGTCCACATCAAGCACCTCTTCAACCCTGCAATCGTAGCTTCATGCTTAGCCACCAAACTTTCCAGTTGAGCAACTATTTTGTTGTTTTCGGCCTTGACAAGAAAACCTTCAAATGACTTCAATTACTGCTTCATTTTATGCAACTTCACTTTGTAGTGTCTTGGTTCTAGCCAATCATCTATCATGTGGAAGAATTTACATTTCTTCCTTTGAGTCATCTATCCCAGTCAAATAGCAAATAATAATCAAACATCTAAAATCGAACATGATAATAAAAAAAAGTTCAAGCTAACGAGAAGCATATTTAAAGAAATTTAACAAATTTCAGCTCAAAACATTACAGATCAAACATTGAAACTCACCAAACATCACTGATCAAGAAAGCAACTAACTTAAACATCGTAAATCAAAATCATAGATGACAGCTACCAATATCCAAGCTAAGTAAGATCACATTCTAAATAAATAAATAAATACTAAACAAATCAGAGATTACCAGTGAGTTTGTACAGTTCAAAAAGCGGCGTGCAAGGTTTTTTGCCGCCCATGATATTCTTTCCGGTGCACCGGAGTCATAGTAGCATTTCTTCACTTCTTCGTTACCAAAGGGATGAAGCTTCTAGGTCAGCCTTGCCAATGAAGCGTCGGAACCGGCTGACCTTTTAAAATTGAGGATAATGTCGTAACTAAAAGTTAATTTGAAAGTTTGTTGACTAATTGCGCAGAAAAATAACTTGAGTGGCCAATCGGGGACAAAGTCAAAACTTTGTTGTACTACAGTGTTAATTTCCTAAAAAAATTATAAAACTTAGTAACTAAATTGTAACAAATAATAACTTAGTGTTAAAAATCATTTTTTTAACATAGTGACTTTTATGCAATTTACCAATCAAGTAATTATCCAAAATATACAATATCGATGTCGGTTTAAATGTATTTGAGAAGATGTTTTTATTGATGTAATTTTATTTTAAATTATTACATTTTTGGGAAAATGACTTAGGAGGGTAACTATCTCTTATCCGTGTTCACATATTGGCAACTTTTTTTTTTTTTTTGGTACATAATAAAGCAACTAACTTGTTTTAACTGTTTAAATTACACCAATATTACCGGTTAATACCTGTTTTAACCGGTAACTCAAAGGGAAAATGACTTAGGAGGGTAACTACCTCTTATCCGTGTTCACATATTGGCAACTTCTTATTTTTTGTACATAAGAAAGCAACTAACTTGTTTTAACTGTGTAACATCCCAAAAATCATGAACAAACATTTCGTTTTTAAATTAATACTAAAACCATAATTGTCAAACCATTAATTTAATACTCCGGCATCGGGCCCCGCTCGACATCAAGCCCCGTCTGGCATCGAGCCCCGCTCGGTATAGAGATATGTCTCTCTTAGGCCCCGCCCACTAAACACATGCAGTCATATAACATGTTAACACATAAAGAAACATACTCTGCCGTATCCCTGTCCTAAGAAACATACTCTGCTAATAATGAGATATAGAACTTCGTCCGTACTCACCTAGTTCCAGCCAGGGCTTCAGCAGTGCAAGGTGAGTCTCCTCATTGTGTGAATAGGTCTAAGGCCACAATGTCAGCCCATGTAGTCTATGAGTAGGAAGACCCGGGGGTTAGCCCTAGGCATTGTATGCTAGTATGTTATTGTAGACCAAGATCCGATGTCGGGCGGGTGCCCGAGGAATGTTTGCATGTTAGATTACACTTGTTGTCTGTGTGATACTTGTATGTGCCTGGTAAGGAGGTAAGTGTGGGCGAGGTCCCATATCTCATCACTAGCTGAGTACGGACGATGTTCTGTATCTCATTATTAGCAGAGTATGTTTCTTAGGACAGGGATATAGTAGAGTATGTTTCTTTATGTGGTAGCATGTTATATGATTGTATGTGTTTAGCAGGCGGGGCCCGGAGACAGGCGGGGCCTAAGAGAGACAAACCTGTATACAGAGCGAGTCTCGATGCCAGACAAGGCCTGATGCCGGGCGGGGCCCAATGTCGGAGTATTAAATTAATGGTTTAACAATTATGGTTTTAGTATTAAATTAAAAACGAAATTTTTGGTCATGATTTTTGGGATGTTACACAGTTAAAACAAGTTAGTTGCTTTTTTATGTACAAAAAATAAGAAGTTGCCAACATGTGAACACAGATAAGAGGTAGTTACCCTCCTAAATCATTTTCTCTTTTGAGTTACCGGTTAAAACATGTATTAACCGGTAATATTGGTGTAATTTAAACAGTTAAAACAAATTAGTTGTTTTATTATGTACAAAAAAGAAGAAATTGTCAATATATAAACACTGATAAAAAGTAGTTACCTTCCTAAGTTATTTTCCCTACATTTTTTGTTATAATTGTATTAAAAATACGCCAGGTACAAAATAGAAACTTATGTAAATAAAAAGGGTGTTAATATTAATCTATGAATTGCCTAGAAAAGACAAAAAATAAATAGAAGTTTTAATTTAAAATTGTTTACAACCGAATATATATATATATATATATATATATATATATATATATATATATATATATATATATATATATATATATATATATATATATATATATATATATATATATATATATATATATATATATGTGGGTGTCACGTGTCCAGGCTGTCTTCTGGCTCTCCTATACACGAGTGTACTTCGAGGTTATTTAACAAAGCCCCTTTCAACGATCTAGTTTCAAGAATTCAAAGTGAAACGTCTTACAATCCATTTGATCTCACAAATAATGAAGTCCTTTTTGCAGCAGCAGTTTCAAGATCTTAAACACTTTAACTTGAAAGAGATAAAGACAATCACCGGAAACTTTGATGACAAGAAATTTATTGGAGAAGGTGGATTTGGGAAGGTGTATGCAGGTGTACTCTCCGACTCCGAGGGACAAATCAGGGTTGCTTTTAAGCGTCTGAGTAGCAAATGCGGGCAGGGAAACCCTGAGTTCTTAAAAGAAATATTCATGCTTTCCCGCTACATACATGATAATCTCATATCTCTTGTGGGATTTTGCGATGAAGAAGGAGAAAAAATCCTTGTGTACGAGCATGCCAGTAATGGAAGCCTTGATTGTCATTTGAGTAGCATGACTCTGACATGGACACAACGTCTCAAGATATGCCTTGGGGCTGCAAAGGGACTCTGCTACCTTCATGATCCTAAGGAGACTCAACAAAGAGTCCTGCACAGAGATATTAAAAGTTCCAACATCCTATTAGACGAGAATTGGAATGCTAAAGTTTCGGACATGGGACTCTCGAAAATAGGACCCGCAGGTCAGCAGCAATCCTTTCTTGCAACTAATGTTGTTGGTACCTTTTGGTACATAGATCCGATGTATATGGAGACAAGTATCCTAACAAAAGAGTCGGATGTATACTCTTTTGGGGTGGTCTTGTTTGAAGTGTTGTGTGGGAGCCTATGCTTCGAACGTAACAGTAGCAATAATCATTTTCAGAGTTTAGTCCGAAGGTGGAAAAAAAGCTACAAAGAGAAAAAGTTAGATGAGATTATCTTTCATAATCTGAAGCAAGGAATGAATCTGAGGTCATTGGAAACATTTTCACAAATTGCGTATCAATGTTTGATGAAATCTCGGGTACAACGGCCAAAGATGTCTCATGTTGTTGAAAGACTTGAGATTGCGCTTCAGTTTCAACAGGGGATTACTAATCCAGAGGAGTTTAAGGAGATGGTTAAGTCTCTGGTCAACAAAGAGGAACTTGAGATGCTTCTCTCCAGTGGAATCATCATTAATGGGGGCAACACGGTAGTTCGCTTTAGATTATTTTTTTTTTTTTTTTTTTATTTTTTTTTTTTATCTATATACGAATTTCACCAAACCAAAACACGAAAATCCACCACCTATCATAGATACCTATTTACAAATTAACCACAATGTTGTATAACTAACTTGACCTCTTTTGATGGACAGTGGTTCTCGTTAAATAAGAATGGGAAGCATTGTGAAATGATATCAGCCGAATGTTTTGGTGCTTCATTCGTTGAACCTCCTAATGATTATATTCCGTATCATGGTAAAAATAAATCAAGGTTAGTTCTCCATCTCCTCCTTTAATTAGTTTCCAGATTTTACATACTATACATTTCATGCAGATTTCAAGTGTGCAACCGAAGAGGTTTATTTGGAAATTTCACAACACACGTGACAACACAATTTTTGTCACCAAATATCATATACAAAGTAAACCTTGTGTTTATGAATGTACTCAAAAGGAAGGACAATTTAGGCATCAAATACAAGTCCGGTAGTAAGACAAAGTATATGGTTTTGTTTGTAGCACATGAGAGAGAAGATGGATGGTTGACAGCTGAATTGTATCAGTACTTTGTCAACGATACTGGTAATGTTGACCTTGAAATTGAGTTCCGTTGCCCAAATGCGATTGAAGTAGAAGGCATTGAGTTTCTTCCCCTGGAGAAAGTAAGTTGACAAGACCGGTTTCATTATGTTTATGTTTTTTTTTTCTTTTAATTAAATCCTTTGTTGGGAAAAGGTAGAAAAAATCTGGAGATCAATAGTTGATAAAATAAAGTCTAATGGAAATGCTTTTATATAAATTGTGCAGCATAAGTTACTGGATGTGGATTTGCGAAAAGACACAGACTGGGGACCTAAATTGCCAACTGATTATGAAGAGATAATCAAGTGGTCAAAAAATTTCATGTCTTTATCTCTGGGACTAAGGTCTGAACGTGATAGTTTGCAGGCTTTGATGTTTATTCAGCAACTTTGCATTAAAAATCTTTCAAGCAAGCATATTATTCGTAATGCTGATCTCATACCCATGATTGTTGAGATGTTGAAAAGCACCAGTAGTGAAGTCCGGTGTAGATCACTTGAAACACTTCGAGTTGTGGTAGAAGATGACAATGATAATAAGGTTAAGAAACTAATATATCTGCAAATGTATTTTATAATTTGTGTGTGAGATGCTAGCTGCTTATTTTTTGATTTGCAGGAAATAATGGCTGATGGTGTTAGGGTGCGCTCGATTGTGAAGTTTTTGTCTGATGAACATTCCCAAGAAAGGGAAGAAGCTTTCTCGTTGCTCTACGAGCTCTCAAAATCAGAGGCTTTGTGTGAAAAAATTGGTTCTGTTAATGGTGCAATCCTTATTTTAGTTGGAATGACAGATAACAAATCAGAAAATGTTTCAATTGTTGAGAAGGCTGACAAAATTTTGAAAAATCTAGAGAAGAATGAGAACAACGTGAGGCAAATGGCTAAAAATGGAAGATTGCAACCCCTTTTGACACTTCTTCTTCAAGGTATTACACTTCCATGAAGTTTTATAATTCCGGTAGTATGTGAACAGATTCATAACTATGTCTAACACATTAATCTATCATGTCATTCAATCATTTTCAGGTAATTCCCTTGAGATCAAATTACGTATGGCTTCATACCTCGGTGAGCTTAGCGACAATACAAAAGTTTTTGTAGCAAGAACTGCAGGTTCATCGCTAATCAACATCATGAAAACCGGTGACACGCAATCAAGAGAAGCCGCACTCAAAGCTCTAAATCAAGTCTCCTCTTGTAAAACAAGTGCGAAGGTTTTAGTTGAACAAGCCATACTCTCACCTCTTATCCAGGATCTTTTCTCGGATCTTCCTATGCGACTAAAAGAAGTATCCGCAGCAATCCTCGCAAACATAGTAACCTGCGACTGTGATTGCTTTTCCATCTCGGTGGGGCCCAACAACCAGACTTTGCTCTCGGAAGACATACTTCACAACTTACTCCGTTTGATCAGCAACAGCGGATCATCCATCGAGTATGAACTTGTACAAGTTCTCATCGTAATCACCAATTCCCCAGTCACCGTGATTCCAGTCGTGAACGCCATCAAAAGCTCCGGTGCCACCATCGTTTTGTTACAGTTGATCGAAGCTCCACAAAAAGACCTACGCATGGCTTCGATCAAGCTTCTCCATAACCTCTCATTACACATAAGCCAAGAATTAGGTAATTGTCTATACGGGTCAGCGGGTCAACTCAGTAGCCTGTTTACAGTAATATCAGAAAACATAGCCAACACCGAAGAGAAAGCAGCCGCCATTGGAATTGTAGCGAACCTTCCAGAACAAGATAGACTGACTCGCAAAATGCTGGATGAAGGCGATTTTGAGATCGTTGTTTGTGGAACAAAAATGATCACACAAGGCAAAACTAGAAGGGTCCGTTTCATGGCTTTGTACCTCGAAGGACTTGTAAGTGTCCTATCGCGGATTACTTTTGTTTTATCCGATGTACGGAAAGCCATCTCATTTTGTCGTGACCACGAGCTCGCTGCTTTATTTTCCAAATTAGTCCAACAAAACTGGCCCGACAAAGTTCAAATGGCCTCCGCTCTTGCTTTAGAATCTCTATCTCGCCAATCGAAAAACTTAACACAATTACCTGAGATCCGACCACCTAAATTTCACATGTCGGGTTTGCTCCGTTTAAGTAAAAAAAAAACGGTCATGTCAGGGCTGTGTAGGGTCCACCGGGGGGTGTGCACACAACGAGATACATTTTGTTTGTTAGAAGGAGAAAGTTTGGCAAGATTAGTGAATCTGTTACACCATAAGAATGAGAAGGTGGTTAAGGCATCATTGGCTGCACTGTCAACTTTGTTGAATGATGGAGCGTATATAGAGGAAGGGGTGAGTGTGTTGTGTGAGGCTGAAGGGATTAAGCCGATTCTTAATGTGTTGTTAGAGAATCAAAATGAGAGTCTAAGGAGAGGGGCGGTTTGGATGGTGGAGAGATTATTGAGGACAAATTATATAAAGTATCAAGTGTGGGAAAACACAAATCTTAGTACAGCGCTTCTGGATGCGTTTCAGCATGGTGATTATCAAACACGACAAATTGCGGAACGCGCGCTTAACCGTATTGGTAAGATACCCGACTTTTATGGGATCTATCCTAACATGGGTTAATATTTAGGGTTGGAGTATTTAGCTTTTGTTTAAAGAGCCTTTTTTATTATTTTTTGGTAATTTAAGAGCAGAGTGGAATCTCAAAGTGTGTGAGGTGAATGACTGGATCCTGATTGGATTCGCATATTTAAAAAAAGTAAATTTTGCTCATAGATAAAAAGAGTTATATTTACGGGTAAGGATATTGATCGATAACATTGTGATTATATTTTGATAAAAAGAATAATCTTCTCCTTGGAGATTAATCAAAAACAAAAAATGTTCAATTGGAATATTAATCAATTTTGCTTATAGATAAAAAGAGTTATATTTAGAAGTTTATTTTTTTCAGATGAGCCTCTTTAAATCAACAAAATTCCCATGTTTAAGAGCAAAAAAAATATCAACTCAGCATAAGTTATTAGTTTTTAGAAAGAGAAATGTACGGGTCTATCTAACATACTTGGTTGTAGTATTTAAATATGATTGTTATAATGAAATAGTAATATAAAATCACTTACAAGACTTGCAAGTCTTGTATATATAGAAAGAAGAAATTCAAGTGACATTAAAAACTAGCTTAGTGGCATAGCAATTTTTCCTCTTAATGATGTGGGAGGATTTCACATAAGATTTATTTATTACTCGTTTACTTATTCGAATTCTATTCAATCCGATTAAAATTTCCATCACAAATATTAATCATGTGACATTCTTTTGTTTAGAGGAACACATATTATATATATATATATATATATATATATATATATATATATATATATATATATATGTGTGTGTGGACGTAAAAACCAATGAGATTTTAGAAAAAAAACAATACTTAATAATTCATATAAGAATATTCCTTGAACTTTGTATATAATCAATTTTAGAAATCAAAAATACTTCCTTAAATCTTTCTTCCCTGCTTCATTTCGGTTTGTGGTGGATTTTGATTTCCATAAAAAGCTTTCTTCAGACCAAAATTATTGGTTAGAAGATTAGTTTTCACATGGTGAGGTTAAGCAGGGCAGTTTGAGATTATGGAGGCGATAAATCATCAGGTCTTGATGGCTTCACGTTTGACTTTTTTAGAAAGTATTGGAATATGGTTGGGGATAGTGTTGTTCACTCAATTATTCATGTCTTTTCTTTGCTAAGTTTCCTAAAGGTTGTAACACATCTTTTATCACTTTAAATCCTAAAGTTTCGGATGATAAATTTGTGAAGGACTTTTGGCCCATTAGTCTTATTGGTTGTTAGGTTTTTGGCAATATAGCACAACAATGTTTTGTCAATTTGCACATTTAATCACTCATGTTTTTTTGTGCTAAATTGGTCATTAACATTAGTAAATACCAACTAATTACACCCTTATTCACCTGGGTAAATGGAGCAACTGGTTGTATTTCTTTCGTGGCATTACATTAAATAAGATTTCTTATCTTCCCTCATCCACATATGAAATCGAAGTAAAAATTATGACATTTATTCAGACACCACTACACTCTTCTTCTTTGTTCTTCATTTTTCTCATTTCTTAGTGACCAAGAATGAAAAAACTAGGGTTCCAACACATTTTCTCTGATCGAAGTCAGTGATCAGGAAACCAACTAAAAATGTCATCCTCGATGCCAAAACTTAATGGACTCTACCCTGTAGTGGAGCTCAACTTCAAAGATGTATTTCTTTGAAATCCTTTCTGGTATAAACATGGTATGAAATTCACATTCAATGATCATGATTTTCTGGAATAACATACTCTGAATGCATCACCTTTCTTAAATGGTTCATACAAGAAAGTATAAAGAAGTTATACTATTGTGAGTCAGGTAAGCCCTTATTATTTGGGATAAATGTTATTGTTAATGATGGAGACCATGCTTCTTTCAATTTTTATGCTTATGGGGTTGATGTTATAATTTCCCTTTATCTGGACCATTGTGGTCAAGGAATAGAGGATTGGTTTGGCTCTGAGATAGAAGAGGAATAAGATGGTGACGATTCATGCATTGATGGTGGTGAAAATGAAGACGAAATTGAAAACATTAGAGATGTGGATGTGGAATTTAATGACGATGAAATCACTGTGAACAAAACAAAAGGTGTTGATTTTATGTCTGAATTATATGGTGAAGATGAAGAAGGGAATGATAACAACATAGGTGATTATGTTGATGGGGGATGAAGAGGAGGCAAATGTCACATAACAACATTCGATTTTTAATGAGTCAACTTGTAACACCCTGTTTCGAATTGTTTCATAATTCGGGGCTGTGATCCGAAGATCAGTTATCATAAGGCTTTGTGTAACACCGTAAAATTTTCAAACAAAATTTTCATTTAACATCATAGAATTCTCATAACACATTTTACAAAATTCCTAATTATCGAATTAACAAAACACCGTCTCCATAATCGTTTGATTAATAATCCAGGATCCTCAAAGCATAACTCTTTCTTTCTCGTGTGTACAATCAAGCCGGTGCCTTCCCGCGATCCAAAGAAGTACCAGAAACACATATCACAAAACATGGTAAGCACGAAGCTTAGTGAGTTCCCCAAAATACCACATACACATATTAGCCACTCGAGGCTATAACTATGTAGACCCTTCGGTCAATGTGTCTCAGTGGGACCCTCGAGTCCCACAACTCTGATGGACCCTCCGGCCCTAACTCTGTAAAGCTCCGCATAATATACATCATAAATCACAAAGACATAATGCACAACATGATTCACAAAACATAAGGCAGGATAACACAATACTCAATGTAAGCACATAAAACCCTCCGGTCACACATCCCCATTTTTATGTGTTGTGAGTGCATAGTTACTTTCATCTTACACATAGATATGAAGTATTTTATATAAATTACATGCCATTTGTGCATATTATCTGGATACTTGTTGTCTATGTTGGATGAATGATTTTATACATGTTTTAAATGATTTAAACTATATATTTATTTTATATCTACAAATATGTTGGGATGAAACATGGGTAGATGAAATAGTTGATGTGTGATGAAATAAAATGATGAGAGATAGGTGATGATAATTAGGTGAGGATAGATAGGTGATGATCAATCGGTGATGTAGGATGAAAGATACTATAACCTTGTCCGACAATTTTGAGATGTAGTCATCTACCAGAGTATAGATGGTGACCACAGACTATTATAGACAATCCTGTGGAAACACCAGCAGGCTCATAACCTGTAGGTGATGAATTATGAGTTCAGGCGATGTTGTAACTACGTATTCATGCAATGATACTCTAACCTCTTACTATAATATACGAGTTCAGGCGATGTTGTAACTACGTATTCATGCGATGATACCCTAACCCTTGTTGGGTACGTGTTGAGGGAGTAATCCCTCAATCAATATTGTCTATGCGATGTAAGTGATGATCCTTAGGGAGAGTCCTTAGGAACAAACATATAAGGAAATGCGATGAGATGAGAGGTAAATATGATTTAGGAGACGACCCTTAGGATAAATCCTTAGGGAAAGTACTTATGAATAAAGAAGATAATGGGGATGGGTAATTGGGTTAATTGTTTGATGATTAAACATAATAATTATATTATTGTGGGTTGAAAACCCTATGTACTCACCAGGTTTCCCAACCTGACCCACTCAGTTTACTTGTATCACAGGTGATGATGTGAAGTTACATTACACTGAGAGATTAAGGAGATATAGATCACCAATATAAATGAATGTAATTTCTGTTTATGCGTATGTTTCTGTATTGACGATGACATCCCACATGTTTTAAAAGGGATAAAAATACATTTCTTCGGAAATGCTCTGATAATGAAATTATCATGTTTTTCTGGGAACAAATTCCAACTGTGACACCCCCATTTTCACGGTCAGAAAAGACCGATTTTGTTTATGCTTTATAAAAATTAGAGTATCTCTTTCAATAAAAATGTTGCGAAATTTGTTCCCAGAAAAACATGATAATTTCATTATCCAAGCATTTCCGAAGAAATATTTTTATTCCTTTTAAAACATTTGGGATGTCATCGTCAATACAGAAACATAAGCATAAACAGAACTTACATTCATTTACACTGGTGATCTATATCTCCTTAATCTCTCAATGTAATGTAACTTCACATCATCACCTGTGATACAAGTCAACTAAATGGGTCAAGTTGGAAAACCTGGTGAGTACATAGGGTTTTCAACCCACAATAATATAATTATTATGTTTAATCATCAAACAATTAACCCAATTACCCATCCCCATTATCTTCTTTATTCCTAAGTACCATCCCTAAGGATTTATCCTAAGGGTCATCTCCTACATCATATTTATCTCTCATCTCCTTACATCACATTTCCTTATATGTTTGTTCCTAAGGATCATCGCCTACATCACATAGACAATATTGATTCAGGGATTACTCCCTCAATACGTGCCCAATAAGGGTTAGGGTATTATCGCATGAATACGTAGTTACAACATCGCCCGAACTCGTAATTCATAGTAATGGGTTAGAGTATCATCGCATGAATACGTAGTTACAACATCGTCTGAACTCTTAATTCATAACCTACAGGTTATGAGCCTGCTGGAGTTTCCACAGGGTTGTCTATAATAGTATGTGGTCACCATTTATACTCTGGTAGATGACTACATCTACAAATTGTCGGACAAGGTTATAGTATCTTTCATCCTACATCACCGATTTATCATCACATATCTATCCTCACCTAATTATCATCACCTATCTCTCATCATTTTATTTCATCACACATCAACTATTTCATCTACCCATGTTTTATCGCAACATATTTGTAGATATAAAATAAATATATAGTTTAAATCATTTAAAACATGTATAAAATCATTCATCCAACATAGACAACAAGTATCCAGATAATATGCACAAATGGCATGTAATTTATATAAAATACTTCATATCTATGTGTAAGATGAAAGTAACTATGCACTCACTTGTTAAAGTGATGATTCCAAACTCGGACAACGCTTCGCTTCTTAA